TAGAGCTTAGCATTCAGCTAATTATTCCTGCCAATCAGTTTCCAGCACACTTGGTACCTTAGTTTTCCCATATCTAAAATGAATATAGCATACCCCCTTGTTCTGTTCCATGTGTCCAAAATTAAATTAATTAAGGTTTAGAAAGTGTTTTGGGGACTTTTAGAGGTCACTTTATTAATGCAAGGCATTATTAAAGAGAGCAAATCGGTTATTATTATTGTTATTGCTATTAATGGCATGTATGGTAATATTATGTTGATTAATAATCAATAAAGGTTAATAATTAAGTATAGTATTTAAAATATTATGATGATAATGATGGCTTCCTATGCAAAAGTAACAACTATTTAAGCAACTATGCATAAGAGTCTACCAGCTCTGAATCACTGGCATTAAGAGTTTAAGTTCAGTAATCAAATATACCATACACAGTAATCATGTGATAAGCCTTTTCTCCTTTAAAATCTAAGTTTCTCTCCCCCAGCAATGGAGCACACATTATATTCTCAAAGAAGTTTACCCTGTCTTGAAGGGAAGTAACAGCAAGTATTACACAGGGGACAAATCCCTGACATCATGCATATAAAAATAAGGCATGCAAGATAACAATTCATTTGCATATATGCTCCTGAATGCATCAGACAACTGTCAGATTGTTGAAAGTGTTTCTCATTATGCAGGATTCTCTCACACATGGTGTTCAACAGTGGTATATTGGTTACAGATCACTGTCCCCATTTGGCTCCTCAGTGAGGTGTGAACTATTTCAATGCTAATGCATAAGTCATGTACATCTGTGTTTCGGGGTATTAGAGTCCTGAGACACATATCTTAGGTATTCTGAGTGTTGATGTGTGAGAAACATCAGTATAATTTCAACTAATTAGGATTGAGATGTGTCAAAAAACATTGACATGTTAAATCATCTACCAGGCCAACTTTGTGGAGTCTTGGAAGCCATTTCTTTCAGGATATGTCCACATGTTCTTGATATCTGAGGTTTACGTTATGACCTCAGCCCTGGCATATGATTCTGAGCAGGCATGAATGGACAGGTACCCACTGGGGGCAAATAATCTTTCTTTCTCTGGAGGCTGAGGAACAGCACCTAATTCATTAACACCAAGGACAGTCTTGATACTGTTGTGCTGACAACAAGAGTGTTTTTGATCCCTTAGCAATCACTGATCTCACTTAAGCTGATGACCATGCTAACAACCTTTCATTCAGACTTAGTAGAAGATTCCAGTCATCTTTGGTAGGGCGAAAGATATCTGAAACAAGAAAACCTATCACCTAGGGCACTGGCATATACAAGAAGGTATACTCTAGTTTTTCCTGGGGCTATATATATATATCTGTGACTGTCAGGACCCTGGCATATGTTACATTTGTGGGGAAATTCATGTGTTAATTGTACCATAAATGGCAATAGTGCCACATAGTCACCCAATTAAAGGTGCCATAAAATAGCAAACCAGCCACAAAAATATTCCACATATGAGGCACATCTACACATTGCCCTATGTTGCCATAGTGACATGCTACATCACCGTACGTCACACTATGGTGACGTAGCAAGCACGTGAGTCTACATGTGATTGGCAGCTATTTGGGTACAGTGGCATGCTCCCTTGTTTTAGTGCACTACCACAGCAAAGCAGCAGCAAACTCTAACCGTGTGCCATGCGCATGATGCAGTACATGTGGTTACTGCACTATGCTTTAGGACTTCCAAAAGGTAGTACTAAAGCATAGCACTGTAGCAATGTCACCATACAGCAATGTGTAGACACACACATAATGTAGAACATCTTTGTGACTGGTTTATATGGTGCCTTAAACTGAGCGTGTGGCAGGTCCACACACTGCAGCTGTCTAGGGCCCAATGTCGACAGTCAGCTGGTTGTCAGAATCAGTCCCTGACAGGGTAGCCTCAGGTCTCCAGCTGTCTCAGGGATGCGTGGGGGGGAGCCCAGGGATTTTAAACCCCCTGTGCTTGACAGCCTTGCCAGTGCTGCTGAGTGCAGAGGAATCAAAGGCTTCTGGTGGACAGAACCAAGAGGCTCCCCTCACCAAGGAGTTTAAAACCCTGTGCCAAACGGACCTGCTGGGGTTGCCAGGCATGGGCAATCACGGTTCCTGGAAGACAAAATTGAGGGGCTCCTCTTGTTAGGAGCCTTGATCCGCTGCAGCCAGAAACACAGGCTGGGCTGCTGGGACCAAGGATTTAAACTCCAAGGTCAGGGGATGCCCAAGACTCCACCCCTCAGGGAGTCTTTCAGTCTCTTACTGCAACTAGCAGCAAGGCTGCCAGCAGTTGTACAATTGGGAAATCTCCCTGATCTCCATAATTGCTCATCCTGCCATACTTGTATAGCACGGCAGGAGGCACAGTTGTTGGCACTGAGGATCAAATCCCAATGTGCAATTATCTGAATCTCTGCCTGCAGCCTTTAGAAAGTGAAGAACAAAGTCAGAAGCAAACAAGAGAAATAGCTTGTAGAATTGTCCTGAGAGCGAGCAGAGACCGAGCTCCTTGGGAATAGCACAGGACAGGCTAAAAAGCAGGCCTGTATTTCTGAACAGGAAAACCAACTCCTGTTATTTGTGCTGTGTCCCAGGAAGCAGGATCTTGTGTTCATATTTTTTAAAAAAATAGGATTTCGGCAAGACATACCGGTTTCTGTTATTAATTCATTCATTATGGCCCTAAATGTTGACTAATCCCTCAGTCCAAAAAGGCAACAAAATTCACAAATTTTGAGGAGTGTAGTAAACTGCAAATAACCCTGCATTTACATTCATCATGAAACTTTTGATGGTGGCCACTGTCAGTGAAGAAATCATTTGACTACATGGACCACCAGTCTGTGCCAGTAGGGTGATTCACATATTCCCTTTTTGTGAAATTAGTGCTTCTGTTTGATTTTGAGACAAAGTAATTGCAATGCACAAACTACAAATATCTCTGTTTGTTTGTGCCATAGGGGCCACATTTCCACATTGCTTTTATATCATAATAACTATAAAAACAAACACTTCCTAATTCAGTCCCTCCACAGAAAACACATTCCAAACACATTGTCAGCACAATACTAATAATATTAATTATTAATCAGAACTCAGATAAATCAATGTACTCAATGTGAATTTTGCAATTACAGTGTATAGCGCCTTCCATTTGAGGATGTCAAAACACTCTTTGGTGATTACAAAGTATTATTATTCCCATTTACAAAATGGAAAGCTAAGCAGCCAGGAGGTTAAGTTTCTATAGAAAGTCAGTGGCTGGGCCCAAATATAATGCCGATTGTCTCCTGAGTGTCAGTCCTGTTCTTTAACCACAAGACAATCCTTCCTCTCTTATCTTAACTATAACACATTGCTGCTTATCTCCAATCCAAACCAGGTATCTTAGGAGAGAACATGGCCCTAAGCATGCTGATGCTAAACCAGAAAATCATTGCAGTTTCTTGTTTGTTTCACTAATCAATAGATTTCAGCCTAAAAAAGAAGAGGCTGACTATGTAAAACAAATCTCAAAGCACGTAACACCTAAAACAAGGTCACAAAAAGGAGAACAAAGCAACTGTACGTACCAATCAGTATGCATTCTCCAGTAAAGAGGTTCAAAGACAGACATATTTGGCCTGCAGTAAGGTTCTTTCCATTCACAGCATGGGTGTATCTGACTTGAGGCTCCTTAATCACCTCTTTGTTAAATTTTAACCATTTGGATTGCTGTGCTCAGCGTGTATATAATTGTTTACAGCTGTCAAAATGGATTAAATTCCTGAGATACATAGCGAGGTTCTGGTGATATATTACTTTACCAGAATACATGTTTGAGAGTTGATTTCTCTGTCAATCAAAAAGAGACGTGCTCTGTAAGGTGTTCTACAATAATTTAAGTAGGCCAAGGCTCATACTTCTTACAGCTTGGGCCGTGACTGAATAAAAAACATTCTGGGAGGGAAATCCTGGTTCCACTGAAGTCAACAGAGGTTTTCCCTTTGATTTTTGTGAGGTGAGGCTTTCATTCTACAAAGCTAAGGGTTGTGCCTGTTTTAAAAAAACATATTATTGTGTTTGTTGTTAGCTTTATATCATAGTCCGTCCATAAAGGCTCTGAGCAGCTTACAGTAAGTTATTGCTCATAGGTAAGAAACAAAAGTAGATTCTGCAAGCATCACCTCCATATTTGAAACCTCCATGCCATGCCACCCATTCACATTTAAGTATATAAAACCTCTTCCTATTTTCTACCCCATCCACTCCCACTTTCCTGCCTCACACCCAGTGGAGATACCCCCCTCTCCAGGTCCCCCCTTCTCCCCAAAATGTCCCTCTCAACCCCACACCTGCTAAGGGTGACTTGGGTCAGCAGTAAGGAAGGAGAAGAAAGACCTAACTATCTTCAGGAGGAAGGATCATGGCCATGTTTCAGAATTTTGTAGGTCAAAAATAGAGGAAACCCTGATATAACAGTTCCTAGGGCAGCAAACAAGGGAGACTGGACTGAGAGATGTGTCTATCTGTTCTGAGAGACTTTGAAACAAAAGACGCTTGAAAAGTGTTACTTGCCTTTTATTTTGTCCTTTCCAGTGAGAGAGAATATGATGAGGAGTATGTGTTTCCATCAGAAAAAGTCTTCAGTAGCTCATAAAAACCTGACCACTTATCAGCACTGTGGGAGATCTTTATTACCTCCTTGCAGCATGTGCTCTCCTATAATGTACTTATTGATTTAACAAGTAAACTTTGTAGCAAGCCTTTACCTGGGAATTAGTGAAGACTGAAATAGAGCCTCTCTTATTCTAATAGTGCTGAGATATGAGATTCCTGCATATTCCAAAGACCATGTAATCAGTGCCACATGCATCCCATTAGGGCTGTCTCAGATGCCAGAGCAAAGCGTGGGCTGCTAGAATTTCAGCAGTTAGGATGCCTTGCTCTCCCTTGGGTGACTCACAACTCTTTTGTTTCCTTTTCTGCAGGCTTGGACAGCAGGCAAGCTCAGGTGATCGTGCTGTCATCAGGTACCAAATGCATAAATGGAGAATACATTAATGATCAAGGGCTGGTGGTGAACGACTGCCATGCAGAAATTGTGGCAAGGAGAGCATTTGTTCATTTCCTTTATTCACAGCTGGAGCTGCACTTAAGGTAAACTGAATGTTGTTGATGACTGGGAAATGTTATATAGTCTTTTATCAAACAGGTCTATCCTCTTGGCACCCAAATCCACAGTTCCTTGATGTAGCTGTTTAGGAGTCTGACAGATGAGTGGCCAGTACTGGGTACAGAGCAAAGCAGTTAGATAGTCTATAGTGCTGGGTCATGAGCGACTTCATTTCAGCGGATTTTCCTTCAGCAGCTATTTGATATGAATCATAAAGCTGAATTTTATGAAGCCTGATGATTCTATACAATTTTTTTCTGCACAAGCCTAATAAAGCACTCACTGGTCAGAGATTGAGAGACAGGTCACCTAGCTCATTATAAGCATTTTCCTTCCTTCCTGGCCACTACTGAATCATGCCCAAGAAGTAATTTGCATTCCTTTTTCTCACACCCACGGTCACATATATACCACATTCTTGAACTACACCAACTATTAAGGCCTTCATTGGCAATCTATTCCAAACCTTGGGGGCTCAGACAGTAAAGAAGTGCTTCCTTATGTCCAGCCATGACTTTGAAGATCCGTTATCAGAATGAGGCTGGATGCAAGTGTTGATGGGCAGACAGAGCAGAGCAGAGCCTCCTTGTACCTGAGTGGGAAGCCCAACTTGGTGCCCTGCAAGCAGCTCTCGTTCAGGGATTTGCAGCACACATAGGAGGAAGAGCCCCCTCCTCCTACCAACCACATGCTGCCACTGCCCCATCAGACATCACCTGCCTGCCATGAGTGTTCACTTTGAAGGTAGGCAAGGCCACATGGCTCCTGGTGGTATCATAGTCCTGAGTGAGTCTCTTCCCAATATAGTGAGCTAGATGGTAGATCCCCTAGGTTAGTTTGCCAGTAACTGAGACTATAACTGTATGGGTCTCACTTAAGTGTTTAATGTTTAAGGCTGTCTCCAAGTTTGTGTTTATCTCTTTTCCCCCTGTTTAATTAAATGTTGCTTGTAAGTGGGGAAGTTTGTTCATGTTAGCGCACCCTGTTAAAATTTATTTTTCCAGGGTTCTGAGCAGAGATTTGAGCTAAATATAGAACGGTGATGCTTAACCCCTAAATTTAAACACAACCTTTGTTACTGCCATTTATGGCCTTGAAGAAATTACATTTCCATTGTATAAAGCATATGTCAGTTAAAACATGACAGTAAAATAGTTTGATTGTCAGTAAAAAGTTTGCAGATTGTCAGTAAAAAAAATATCTTGGGTTAGCAACCCTGAACGAATGCCACATTAACAGCAGAATGGACCTGGAGCCAAAGCAATAGATATTTTCATTCCTTCTTTATGATATTAAAAATGTTAGAGGTCATATTAGCCAGAAATAGGCTTTGCTTACTTATACCAGTCCTACACCCTGAACTGCAAATTAGCACAGCTGAGCAACTCAAAGTAACCTTGTGTGTCTCAGCTTCTTGCTCAGACTGTCCTGAGACAGAGATCTTGAGCAGATTTCTGGGGAACATAAGCAGACAAGGTTGTTTGGGTATAGAATCATAGAAATTGAGGGTTGGAGGGGACCTCAGGAGGTCATCTAGTCCAACCTCTTGCTCAAAGCAGATCATCCCAACTGAAGCTTTGTCTAGCCAGGTCTTGAAAACCTCCAAGGACGGAGCTTCCACCACCTCTCTGAGTAACCTGTTCCAGTGTTTTACTACCCTCCTAGTGAGAAAATTCTTCCTAATATCTAACCTAAACTTCCCTTGCTGCAAGTTGAGACCGTTGCTCCTTGTTCTATCATCTGCCACCACTGAGAACAGTCTAGCTCCATCCTCTTTTGAACCCTCTTCAGGTAATTGAAGGCTACTATTCAAACCCCTCTCAGTCTTTTCTTCTCTAAACTAAAAAATCCCAGTTAGCCCAGCTCCCTCGGTCTTTCCTCGTAGGTCATGTCCCCCATCCATCTCATGATTTTTGTTGCCTTCTACTGGACACTCTCTCCAATTTGTCCACACCCTTTCTGTAATGTGGACTGAAAACTGAACACAGTACTCCAGATGTGACCTCACCAGTTCTGAATAGAAGGGAATAATCACTTCCCTTGACCTACTGGCATCACACCTAGAAATACAGCCCAATATGCCTTTAGGCTTCTTTACAACAAGGGCACACTGCTGGGTTGTATTCAACTTATTGTCCACTGTAACCCCCAGGTCCTTTTCTGCAGAGCTGCTGCCCAGCCAGTCAGACCCTCACTTGTACTGACGCATGGGATTGTTCTGCCCTAAGTGCAGGACTTTGCAGTTGTCCTTGTTGAGCCTCATGCGATTCCTTTTGGCCCAATCCTCCAATTTGTTTAAGTCACTGAATCCTAGCCCTACCCTCCAGCATATCTATTACTCCCCCCAAGTTGGTGTCATCTGCAAACTTTCTGAGAGTGCACTCTATGCCATCTTCCAGATTGTTGATGAAGACATTGAACAAAACTGGCCCCAGGACTGACCCCTAGGGCACTCCACTTGATACCAGCTGCTGACTAGACATTGAGCCATTGATTACTACCCTCTGAGCCCAATGCTCCATCCAGTTTTCTATCCACCTTACAGTCCATTCATCCAGCCCATACTTCCTTAGCTTGCCTGTGAGAATGTTGCGGGAGACCATATCAAATGTGATATCTTTTATTAGACCAATTAAATGGTTGGAAAATATGCTTTTTGCAAGTTTTCAGGTATAAACACTCTTCTTCAGGCAGAGGGAGAGTCATTTCTGGGGAATACACTGAAAGCCACTCTCAGCACAATGCCTTGCTAATTTGCAGGATGTAGCATGCCCAAAGCAAAGGGAGAATGGGCAGGGCTTATTTCCCATGGCACACCAAACTCACTCAGTTTGTTTAGACTTTAGTAATATTTTCAACCTTGTGCACCTAGTTTGCTTTTAGATGAGTCATGCATGTAGTCCCTGATTATCCACCCTGTTCTCTTATGACCTTCCCTGCTTGGTACCAGTCCATTCATTTGTTTACCAGTGGCATGGTAAGAGTAGATAGGCCCTGCAGCCAAAGTGCTAGTTACTGTCACTCTTTCTCATGTTATTAAAAACCTCAGAAGTTATGTCAGCCTCATTCTCTATGACCTCTTTTTCCACTTTTTCCAGAGATAATTTTGTGCTTTCTTTCATACCACACTGGATGTATGCATCACTCTCCTTGAGTTGAACTATAAACCACTGCTTTATCCAAATCTTCTTCAATTGTGACAGACCCCATTACGCTAAACTTTATTCACACACATCTATAGCATGATTCCTGAAAGAAACCAACAGATAGTGGCTAGGCAAAGGCAAAACAGAGGGTGCCATGTGTCCATATTGAACACAGAAGCAACAAAATGCATGGTTGAGAGTTCCCTCATCCTTCATCCGCTGCTTGTGTTCACCGGGCCTAATCTGAAGTCAATGGACTTCAAAGGACTTTTGGCTAAACCGCAGTTAAGGATTGTTGGGCTGGAACTGTGTCTTCATGCATGGGAGCACATATCACCTTGTGGGCCCTATTATATCAGTTATAACACTAGTATTTAGTTGCACTTGAGGCTATGAGTGAAAAACAGAGAATATATTTAATAAACAAGAATGGCTAACAAAGAGATACAAGCATCTGAAAGGCTTTAATCATGACCAGTGTTCTTTCTCCTTCAGTCTGCATTGCTTTCATTTCAGGTTTACATTCAATTATTGTGTTTTCAGCAGTTAGGAACCCCAGTAACATGCTTTGAATTAAGAACTGTGCCAATGTCTCTTGGGATATAAGTGCTACCACTATATCTTCAACTATTCTATTGATCCACTTTCATAACATGTTCAGCTATTATTGTGTTATTTGGATCAATGTTACGTTCTTTTGTGATGGGAATTCTCACAGCAACACAAACTCTGTCCGCAGTAGCTTCTGTTTCTCTGTTCAGCCAAGAATTGATGCCACTGTTCCCCTGACCTGCACATACACACACACACAAAATTGTCAAGGTCCAGCACTTCCTGGAACACAAAGCTGAAAAAATTAGAGACATGTTCTGCTCCATGAAGTCTGTGGTTAAGCAAAATAATCCATTTATAACCATGTTGTAACATATCCTTCATGATAAAACTTTCACAGCTTCACTGGGGAAATGTCAAGCAGTCATCAGGATCTTTGGCAAGAAACTGTGGGTGTTCAACATAAACACTATTTGAGGTTTTGTAAGAGGCTCTTTACTTGCGGGCCAATTTTGCCACTCCTTCTACTGATTTGGAGTCTCTTCTGGCAGTACAGCTTGTGTGATTCTGCCGAACAGCTTGGAAAGCAGTTTGTGGCTAGAGATCATACAGAGGGTGCATACTCCCTGCACACAAAACCATGGGTAGACGAGGAACAAGGCAGAGGATCTTCCTCTACATTATTATCATTTGTGTTATCATAGTACCTAAATGTCTCAGCCATGGATCAGGACAATTGTGCTAGGTGCTGTACAAACCAAAACAAAAAAGATGGTCCCTGCTCCAAAGGAAACATAGAACAAAGGCAAATCAAAATGAAAGAGCTTCAACTCTCCCATCTTTTCCTATGGAACAGACCTGTCAGTTTTGGGAGGCTACTGCCTGCTTTTTATTGTACTTCTATCAAGTCTCACTACTCAAATGGGTCTATAAGGTCTTAGTTTGACCCCTCAGCATTTTGTATGATTTTTATACCTTGAGACTTTTTCAACAATAGTGTTGGCATGATATTGTAGCCCTGGTGGTCCAGGAAATATGTAAGAGGCAAGGATATTTTGGGGGTGATATCCTTTATTGGACCGACTGCATAGTTGGGCTAGATTTAGATAAGCTTTCAAATGTAATGAATCCTTCTTCAGGTCTAAAGGTAAGGCAGGAACTTTGAAAAATTAAATATAATTTGCAAGGCTGTGAAATAGGAAAAGAGAGAAATTGTCCTATGACCGCACACCCCTGGTGGTCACCTATTACCCACTCTTGAATCAATAAGAAGAATTATCAAGCAC